ACGATGCAGACTGGTTGCACTTGAGAATCAGATGACAAATACACCTCGAGCTGAATGTGCTCTGACACTGGCCCTCCCATTACTCCTAATGTTCAGGAGGAAATGTGGCTTTTTCCAGTTTTTCAGGTCCCTTGTCTGGCGAACCATTAATTTTGTGTAGCAGAACAGAGACATTCCCTTGCATTTAGGTCCTTTCAGTTTAGGTCTCAAATCCACCCTGTATCATTTCAAAGTAAAAAGGAGACAGCCACGCTCCTTACAGCCATTCACAACAACTACGCAGACCTCGGCTTGTGCCAACAAAATGTGCCTTCTCTAAAGTCCTTTTCTCCTGGGTTCCCATCCCCCAAAATGGGCTTGCTAGGATGCCCAGGAAACACAACAGCTGGTGTTCATCAAGTCACTTTTTTTTCCTGATTATTTTGAATCTCTAAAAGTTCTTAAACTAAATTAAAATTTAAAAAGCCCTAAGCTCTTTGAAATATGCTTTCATCCTGTCCCATCCTGCTCATCTGTATCTTGAATTCTCAAATAGAAAGGACCTTGAGACAACCCTCCCCATTATAAACGAGGAAAGTGGACATTTCGTTCAAGTTGTTGCATATATCAAAATTTCATTCCTTTTTATTGCTAAGTAGTATTCTATGATATGGATGTACTGTAGTTTGTTTAACCATTTACCTGTTGAAGGACATTTGGGTCATTTCCAGTTTGGAGTTATAATGAATAAAACTGCTATGCACATCAGTATACAGGTTTTTTCTGTAAACATAAGTCTTCATTTCTCTGGGAAAAAATGCCCAGGAGTGCAATTGCTGGGTCATATTATAAGTGTATGTTTATTTTTAAGAAACTATATTCCGGCATGGCTGTAATGTTGTATACTCCCACCAGCAGTGTATGAGGGATCAGTTTCTCTGCATCCTCACCAACATTTGGTGTGGTCATAATTTTTATTTTTTTAAATTTCTGCCATTCTGATACAGGTATAGTGTCATCTCACTGTGGTTTTAATTTGTATTTCCCTAATGGCTAATCACGTTCATCTTTTCATGTGCTCATTTGCCATTTGTGCCATATCCTCGGGTAAAATATTTATGTCTTTCACCTATTTTATAATTGGACTGTTTTTTTTTTTATTTTTAAACTGTCATTTTGAGAGTTTTAAAAATATATTCTAGATACTAGTTCTTTGTGGGATATGTGGTTTGCAAATACTTTCTCTCACCCTGTAACTTGTTTTATTTCTTTACGTGGTGTATCTCAGAGCAAAATTTTTAAATTTTGACGAAGTCCAATTTACCCATTTTCCCTTCTGTGATTGTGTTTTCGGTGTCAAAACTTTGACTTTAGATCCCAAAGATTTTTGTCCCCTTTTCCCCCTAAAAATATATAGCTTTAGGTTTTAAATTTAAATCTGTGATCTATTTTATGTTTATTTTTGTATACGGTTTGAGGCTTAGGTTGAGGTTCAGTCTTTAACCTATGATTGTCCAATTGCTCCAGCACCATTTATTGGAAAAGTTATGCTTCCTCCATTGAATTGGTTTTGCATCTTTGTCAAAAATCAGTTGGGCATATTTGTGTGGTGCAATTTCTGGATTCTCTATTCTTTTCTGTTGACTTATGTGTCTATTACTCCACCAGCACCGTACAGGCTTGATTACAGTAGCTATGTAATTTGTCTTGAAATTAGGTAGACCCTTTTCTTCAATTTTATTTTTTTTCAAAATCGTTTTAGCTATTTTAATTCTTTTGCCTTTCCATATAACTTCTAGAAAAATCCTGTCTATATCTACAAAAATATCTTGCTGGAATTTTCATAGGAATTGTGTTAAGGCAGTATATCAGTTTGGGGAGAATTGACACCTGGATATGCATTGCCATTTATTTAGATTTTCATTGATTTATTTCATGAATGTTATATAATTTTCAGAACAGAAGTCTGACACATTTTTTGTTAGATTTATACTTGAGCGTTTCATTTTTTTTTGAGTGATTGTAAACGATATTATATTTTTAATTTCGGTGTCCACCTGTTCATTCTAGTATATAGAAGTACAGTCGACTTTTGTATGTTTGTCATACATTCAATGACCTTGCTCAGCGGACTTACTATTTCTAGAGGGTTTTTTTTTTTTTTGCAGATTCCTTGGAATTTTTTATATAGAGAATTATGCTATCTGTGAAGAGGGACAGTTTAATTTTATCTTTTCCAATCTGTATCCTTTTATTTCCTTCTCTTGCCTCATTGCATTGATTATACCTTTCAGCACTATGTTGAATACGAGTGGAGAGGACCAGAAGCCTTGTTTTATTCTGGATCTTGAGGGGAAGCATTTAATCTTTCATCATTAAATATCATATTAGTTATAGGATTTTGTAGATGCTCTTTATCAAGCTGAGGAAGTTTCCCTCCATTTCTATTTTTCTGAGAGTTTTTAACATGAATGGGTAGTGATTTTATCATTTTTTTCCTGCATCGATTGAAGTGTTTGTGTGATTTTTCTTCTTTAGCTTGTTGATATGGTAGATTACATCGATTGATTATCAAGTAGTGAACCAGTGTTGAATTCCTGGAATAAACCTCACTTGGTCATAGTTTATCATTCTTTCATATATTGATGAATTCTATTTGTTGAGAGTTTGTTAAGGATTTTTAAATCTACATTAATGAGATATTGGTCTGCAGTTTTCTTTTTTGGTACTTTTTCGTTCGGCTTTGGAATCAGGGTAATACTAGCTTTATCTTCTACTATTTCTGGAAAAGAATTTTTAGAATCAGTGTTAATTCTCCCAATGTTTGGTAGGATTCTTTAGTGAAAACATTTGGGACAAAAGATAACAGTTTGGAGAGTTTTAAAATTGAAAAATTATTTTCCTTCACAGTTATAGGGCTAGTCAAACTATTTCATATTGAGTGCATTTTGGTAGTTCATATTTTTTGAAGGAATTGGTCCATTTCATCTAAATAGTCAAATATATGTGTGTAGAGTTGTTTGTATTATTCCATTATTATTGTTTTGTCTGCCAGATTTGTAATAATATCCCCTGCTTTATTACTCATATTGATCATTTGTGTCTTCTTTTGTTATTTGGTCTTTGTCAGTCTTTAGAGGTTTCAAGGTGTCAATATTTTGGATCTTTTCAAAGAACCAGCTTGTTGTTTCATTGGTTTTCCCTATTGCTTTTCTGTTTTCCATATCATTGATTTCTGCTCTGTTTTCATTCCTTCTGCTTGTTTTGGGTGTAGGTCACTCTTTTTTTTTTCTGGTTCTTGAGGTGGGAGCTTATATGATTGCTTTGAGACTTTTCATCGTTTTCTAATGGATGCATTTAGTGCCATAAATCTTCTCGGTATTACTTTAACTGTCTCACAAGTTTTGATATTTGTATTTGTATTTTTATTCAGTTCAATACATGTTTTGGATTCCCTTGAGACTCTTTGGCTCATGGATTATTTAAAAGTGAATTATTAGTTTCCAAGTGTTGGCAGATTTTCCTGTTATCTTTCTGTTATTGATTTCTACTTTGATTCAATTCTTTTATTCTTTTATTTGATTGATTTCAATTCTTTTAAATTTGTTGGGGCTTGTTTATGGCCTAGAATATGTTTTATCTTGGCATATATGGTCCATGGTCCCTTGAAAAGAGTATGTATTCTCTTATGGTTAGGTGACATGCTCTATAAATGTTTAGATCCCATTGGCTGGTAGTGTTGTTGACTTCTATATCCTTTCTAAGTCTTTTATTTATTGGAGAGAGAGGAGCGTTGAAGTCTTCCACTGTAACTGTCGCTTTTTCTTTTTCTCCTTTCAGTGCTATCAGGTTTTGCTTCACATATTTTGCACCTCTGTTGCAAATCCTATTTAGGATTTAGGATTGCTTTGATTTTTGGTGGATGCACCCATTTATCATTATGTAATGCTTCTCTCTGCTTCCAGTACTTTTCTTTGCTCTAACATCTATTTTATTTGATATAAATATAACCTCTCCTTTTTCATTATTAATTATATATA